CTTAATGTTTCTGTTTTTTAGTTATTTCTATTTCTATTTCTTACAAGCATCCGAGTGGAGTCACAATCTTGCTCTACAATCCTCAGCACCCACCACAACCGTACCCCATATAAATACCCCATATAAATACCCCATATAAATACTAACACCCCCCGCTCCATTTTTCTTCACATAAACATAATTCTCAGAATGAAAATGGGTCGACAGAAAAACCGGCCAGTTCTGAGCCACCTCAAGAAAGCCATGAAGAAGCTCAACTCCCTCATCAGATTAACCCGAACCAGGTGGCGAGTTGCTTCCCTCCTCCGTAGAGCCTCTTACCGCCGCTGCCTGTGCTTTAATCATAGTCCAAGCTTGCGAGACTGTATAGGGGTAGGAGGAGGGGGATCTGATGAGAAGAGAAGTCCGGTCCGAGTGCTTCAACGGATTACTAGCTTTCCTCCCGATGATGATATTGATAGAAGGGCGGAGGTCTTTATATCTAATTTTCACCGTCGGCTTTGGTTGGAAAGACAGGTTTCTTTGGAGTTAAGTTACTGCCGGACCTCCAGTTTTTGAGGGAGATTTTTCACCGGATTTGGAAATGTTGTGTGTGCATATATGATTGAATTAGGTCCAGTGGACCAAGAGTTTTTGAGAAGATATTTTTTCACCGGAGTTGCAAGCGTTGTGTGTGCATAATTAAATTAGGTCCGCCAATTACGTTGGGGCCTAAGGACTTAAATGGTGTGGTTTGCAAGTCCTGGCTTCAATTCCAAATACTGAAGTTCATCCTCTTCCCTCTTTGTTTGTAATTATAATGTAATACAATTACCCCTGTTTACAAATAGAATAATTAAATAAGGTCCAGACTCCATGGTGTTATAATAGTATACTGCATTGTTTGTATCATTTCAATAATTATTGTTTGTATCATTACAATAATTACAATTGTTTTGTTGCGCGGTCTCTCCTTTTTATTTTTATTTGTGCTCGTTTTGCTTCTCGAATCTATCTTCTTCTTCTTTTTCTTTTTCCTTTTTTTATTTGGCCTAATGAATCTGTCTTTTGAGACTGGGAAAAGCTGAATATATTTGAAATAATAGTAATTTGTTGAAAAAGTTTATTAATTGACTACAAATTTTTATAATAATTATATATAATATCAAATAAATAAATATATATTGATTCACGCATCTTACTTAAGTGAAAAGGAATTTACACACTTTACTTAAATGAAAAGGAATTTACGCACTATACTTAAGTGAAAAGAGATGAATAAAAGCATCTAAATTTCCTAATTAATCCCATCCAAATGAGATATTGCTTTTGTTTTGTTGTTGCTTGAGACTCTTTCTATTGAGCCTTACTCATACTCATCTGCTTAACCACCATATAATTGAGCCATTAGTGACCAAAAAAGGCAATTTAATTAACTAAAAGCCTTCCATTATCCTTAACATCATTACATCCTCCGTTACTCCATTTGTCGTTTGAGAAAATCAAGAAGGGAAAATGAGAGCTCAGTATATTCAGTACTCTCTCAATGTCAAAAACAGTAGGAAACATCAACCCTCAAGAAAGGGTTTAAATATCATTTTGGTCCCTCAACTTTCTACTTTGACACCAAAATTGTCCCTTAACTTTGAAAAATATTAAAATTATCCTTAAATTTTCATTTTCGTACCAAAATTATTCTTCTGTCAGTTAAATGACAGATGTCACGTTTTCTTGCCACAAAGTCACTGAATTTTTTTTAATCTTAATGACATGTAAATTCCAATGGAGAAAATTTAACCTTTTTTATTATTATTTCACAATTTTTCAACCCTAAAGGAAAAAAAAAAAAAACAAAAAACATCATCTTCTTCCTCCTTTCATCCTTCTGACAGTTTTACTTCATTTGCTATCAACCTTCCTCCTTCCTTTTCCCTACTCATCCTTCTTCTTTATTCCTCTTATTCTTTTTCTCTCTCTTCTCCCTTCTTCCTCTCCAAATCAAACCCAAATTTGGGTTTTTATCAAACCTAGAAAAAACCCAGATCTAGTCCTTAATACCCATCTGCCTAAACCAATAAAAAATCAAAGACATCTACAATATACTCTAAAAAATTCATCAAAAATGAAATAAAGAATCAAGCAGCAAGCCTCAAAAGGAAGGAAGTAGGAGTGTGGATGTAATCACAATATTTCAATAAAATAACCACTTCGTTCATCATCGACAACAGAATAGATTGGATAACATATTACGATTCAGACATATGCTTGTCAAAAAAAGAAAATTAAATCATTGGTTGAAATTTTACGTTACAAAATATACTCAAAATGCATGGAATTATTTAAAAATAAGATTTAATAATGGGCCTCATAGAGAAGATTAGATTAGACCAATCAACACGAGAATTTTTAGATTTTTAACGAAAGGAATTAAATCATTGGCAGATCTGAATAAAAAAAAATGAAATAAAAATTGAAAGAATAAAAAGAATGAAAAGATGCTGAGGGACTCAGAATATGGGTGGTGATATATCAGGACGGTCAGCAAGGCTATCGAAATAACCATTTACGACGAACGAGACCTATGTAAAAAGGAAATTGTCACCGTCCCTTGGAAATCAAATCAGGAGAGAAACAAACAAAAAAGAAAGAAAAGAAACCATAGAATATTAATGTAGAGATTAGATCCAAAGAATAGAGAGGCTTATCTGAGAAGATGAAGGGAGAAGAAACGCCATAGAGCGTTGCTTATGAGCGCTTAGCTCAGCGGCCATTGTGTGCATTTGGGACTGACAGTTAAATTAGAGTGTGCATTCTGTAGTAAGATGGGTTTGAGAAAAACCCAGGTCTAGGTTTGATTTGGAGAGGAAGAAGG